GGAATTATTTGTAATGATATTCCAATGAGCCGCTTTGTGATATCACAAAGCCCGGAAAACAAACGCTGTAGTCCAAACGAGCCGTTCGTTGTAGTTCTTGAAAATGGATTTTTAAAAAACGAAATATCTCCCTTTGGAGTGGACTTTGAGATTTGTAACTTTCTAGATCTTTTTTATGCCCAAACATACACACTACACACTGACTAAAATTAAAAAAGTGAAAAAGCATAATAGGACCCCTTTAAAAAATGGTTTAAAGGCTCAATTGTGAGGTTTATCATTTTATAATTTATTTTGTTTTTGTGAAAACTGTAAATCAGTTGCTATTTCGTGGTCTACAGCATGAAAAAAGCCATTATAACATCTACATGAAAAATGTAGAAACATTGGACACAACTGTGGGGCACCATTGTGCAGCAGCAAGCATCACAACAAAAAAGGAACCTCAAGGCTGAACTAGGTAAATGTGTGCAAATATATAGGGCCCGATTCCTATATCTTGCCTGGGGCCCCCAAATCACTAAATCCGCCCCTGGTTCGGAGTTCAGACACACTCTCTCTGTTTAAATCTAGATTAAAGACACATCTCTTTAGCCAAGCATTCAAATAGTGCATCTCATCTGATCAAATGCACATTTTCATTCTTTTGCTTGGGTTGAACACATCATTTCTTGCTCAGTTGGAACAGCAGCTACGCTAATTTCTCTCTATTTCCTTCTCCGTTTCTGCCACGGGATTGGCATCATTTATAATTTAATATCAACTAAATATTTGTTTTATGTAATGCAATTTTGAATTTTATTACAATATTTAGAATGAATTCAAATAACACATACAAATAAAATATTACAAATGTGTAATTTTTTATAAAAAGGACAGCTAAAAATCTGGAGGGAAAAAAACTATTGTCAAGATCTGTTTGAAGAAATATAATACAACTCCACAATCTGTTATATGATAATATGCTCAGTGAGAGACACTGTATTTGTCAGGAAACCGCGTGCTGCTGCTGGGTGTTCAGGGGGTCTGTTATTGTGGTTTTGAGGTGGTTTTCATACGGATGTGGTCCAGGTTTGTGGTTGGTCTGTGTGTTGTCGCTGAGGACACCAGTCACAGTGCACTATTACTCACGGTACGAGTTGAGAGTGGCATAGCGCGTACCAAAAGTAATAATGAACCGTGAGGCTGGTCAGGGCTCCACCTGCAGGGGGTGCTAGAGGGGAAACACACTCATATACCGCCGTATAAAAGCCCACAATCACGCATTTCTGACACTGTAATGTATTCATTTTTACTTATGTGTTTTCGAGACCATTTTTCATGTACTGTTCATCTGAAGATGCATGCAAGTTTAGAATAAGCGTGTCTCTATTCATTTGAAAAGCAAGTGCTGGGACTTCCAGTGGATTTGAGAAGTATGCATCTGTGCATGCTTTTTGGGTTTATATTGCCCACAATGCCTTGTGCAATGGAAAAGCGGGAATCTGAGACTGTCCTCTTCCCACACTTTCAGTTGCAGAAAAGTGGTCAGGAATGTGGGACCGAAACCGTTTATAAATGTATGAACTTATGATGAATGGTAGGCTAATGCATTCAGATCTATGTGTACAGGGATCTGTGGTATGAGTATAATGTGTCCCAATGCTTGCATACTTAAAAGTATGTAATTTATGTCCTGATATCGTCACAAACAAAGTATATAGTTGTAGTGTTTAGTTGTATAGTTGTAACAGTTACACTTGATCCATAGACTTATGCTTTAATACTTTAAATTAAAATAATTTAAATATATGTATCTAAATATAAATATATTTATGAGTATATATTTAAATATAAATTAAAATAATAATAAATTAATCTAATTAAAAATAAATTGATTAGCGAAAATAAAATGTTAAGTTGGACAAACTTGTTCCATAGACTAATGCTTTAATACTTCCAATTTAAATAACTTAAATATTAAATATATGTATTTAAACATAAATATATTTAAATAAAACATATTTATGAATATATATTTAAATATAGAGTTAAATATAAATTAATAACATTATATTAATAATAAAAGAGCAAAAAAAAAGCCCTTTAAAATAAATGCACATAGCAAAAATTGTCTCAAATTGTGTTTGTATTTATTTGTATATGTATATTTGTTGGTTTTGTCCATGGACATCAATTCTTTGTGTACTCAGTTTATAAAGCATGTGCCATAAACATAACTGTAAATGAACATTTGTGTGTGTTTTCAAGTACCTGTTTGACAGTATGGTCCCGTCCATCCTTTTAGACATGCACAGTGATTAGGCCTTACACAAGAGCCTCCGTTTGCACAAGACTGCTCACACACCGCTAGAGAGAGAGACGTATGTAAAAACACACACACACATGCAGTTATAAATCCAAGAGAAAACACATTTAGGGCTCATGTTATGCAGTATGATGGCCGTTTACCTTGGTTACAGTTGTGTGAATGCATGTGTCGCCATCCCGGACAGCATTCTGGGTAAATGTGTACATTAGGAGCTGCTCTGCTCACCTGCCTGTAAGAAACCCTGTAAATTGTCCTGTAAAACACACACAGTCCAGTGAAAGGCTGATACATTATGAAGTATAAGATGCATTTAGATGTGTTTTGTGTGTTCTTACTTGTATGTGCTACACATGCGGTGGTTTTGGCACATGGTGATGTAGGGTTTGTGTACGGGCTGAAGAAACGACTCTGTGCTGTAAGACACACGACGACTCCAGGCATCTCCAACACACACTCTCCTCCTGAAACACACACACAATTATACACAAACACACTCCTACACACAAACACTGCTTATATATACACACTACTGTTGGTAAGATTGTGATGTTTTTGAAAGAAGCCACGTATGCTCACCAAGGCTGAATTTATTTGATCAAAAATACAGTAAAACCTGTACAATTATGAAATATTACTGCTGATTTGCTGCTCAAGAAACATTTCTATCAATGTTGAAAACAGTTGTGCTGCTTAACATTTTTGTGGAAACCATGATATACTTTTTTTCAGGCTTTTTGATGAATAGAAAGCATTTATTTGAAAGAGAAACATTTTATAACATTATAAATACATTTACTGTCACTTTTGATCAAATTAATGCATCCTTGCTGAATAAAAGTGAAAAACAAAAAACCTGACCCCAAACAGTAGTATGTACAGTATATACAGTTGAAGTCAAAAGTTTACATACACCTTGA